GAAATGGGTATAACCTTAGTCAGGGGAGGTTAAGGTTGGATGTTAGAAAGAATTTCTTCTCTGAAAGAGTTGTCAGCCACTGGAATAGGCTGCCCAGGGAGGTGGTTGAGTCCCCATCCCTGGATGTGTTTAAGAAAAGGGTGGATGAACTACTTAGGGACATGGTTTAATGGGGGATTAGGGATGGTTGGACTCGATGATCTCTAAGGTCTTTTCCAACTTAGAAATTCTATGAAATTCTATGAAAATGACTTGTAACCCTAAGTATGTTAAGGAGAAATAAACATTTTGCATAAAGTTTTGCTGTTTTATATATTTTTCAGTGAATGACTCTAACTGGGAATGCTGTTCTATTTTTCAAGTTAGCCAACTTGATTATTTGGTTTCTCGAAAAGATACGTGAATTACCACAGCCAGGCTCTCAGTAAATATGCTGAGACTGTTATATTGGGGCAAGTAGTAGAGGACTTGACTAGGTCTTTCTATTACTCTGAAAAATGAAACACTGATTACTCAAATAAGTACTACTGCATGGCTAATAATGCTTCTCATAGAAGTTGTGCAAAACCGTAAAAGGAACTTTCAGTAAGGACCCCGTTACACAGAGTACTTCATTTTGTGTACTGATGTCTATGTCTCTCTTTTTTAGATGGTTGTGAAAACTTTCATGGATATGGACCAGGACTCTGAAGAAGAAAAGGAGCTCTACCTAAATCTAGCTTTACATCTTGCTTCAGATTTCTTCCTCAAACATCCTGATAAGGATGTACGTTTGCTGGTAGCATGTTGTCTTGCTGATATTTTCAGAATTTATGCTCCTGAAGCTCCGTACACTTCACCAGATAAACTAAAGGTAAATTGGCTTAATCTCTTTTTCCACAACAGATTTTTAAACTGAGTGATTGATATAATTGATTATAACTTTTTTTTTCCCCCTTTTTGTTTCTGGTTCAACCTAAACAATCTAAGGTTTATCACTTGATTCTAGGATAGGAGTGTTTGGTCAGGTCAAATGTTCATCAGATAAAGTGATACATAGTATATCTTTCAGTACCTTTTAGAATTATGGATATATATTGAAAATAAATATTTATTGGACTGTCATTGGGATTTGCAGATAGTGGTCTGTTTCTTTAGAAATATTGATACGTCTATAGCTGTTAACATAATCTCTTGCAAGGTAGCTAATTCCTTCAATTGGGAAAATACCTCTGCTGTTTCAATTAAACCACCAAAAGATGATTACTGTATTTTTATAGATAAAGACTTTATTGAAACAAAGAAAAGTATTTTTGTACAGAGGCTACTTATTTCTGATGTGAGTTGGAAAATTCTGCAATTACAAACATCACTGATCCCACTAGATGGAGATGGTTGATAGAGAAGTGCCGGGTTTGAAAAGGCAGTATAGATCTGCCCCATTTGTTTCAGAAAAAAAAAAACTTGATTGCTTTGAGTTTTTCTTTCTTTTTTTTTTTTTCCCCCAATAGAAATCTAACTTTCTTTCCAACTCAAAAAATCAAACTACTTCCCTTACACAGTCTGAATCTAGAGTGATGAACCAAGTCTTATAGAAAATCTTGCAGGGGAAAATAACACTGAAAAATGCATAATTTTTTGTTTCCCTGATTTAAGAGCGTGTGTGGGCTTTTCTGTTTGTTTGTTTGTTTGTTTTTTCCACAACAAGATAAAAAGATGGTGGTGGAAGGTATATCTGTTACGGTGGAAGAAGTAACTCAATTTCTGATGTAGTAGTTGCACCAGGAGTGCTTCCTACGTAGGGGAAACCGTACAGTTGAGACTGTAGTACATCCTTTGTTACCAGACGTACTGGAGAGATACCTAGGGCTTTCTATTAGCTGTATTTTCTAAATTCTGAATCGTTACACCTCTGATTATGCACTATTTACTTGACTTATTGATTACACTATCTTTAACTAAGACAAATGTTAGCTTTCTCTACCACGTTACATTTAAGTCTGGTTTTGAGACGTCCCGATTTCTACTTCAGTTTTGACTATATATTTTCCTTTGCTTGTTTCCTTTCCTTTGTTTGCTTGTGTTGTTTTTTTTTTTCTTTTTCTGAGTTGGGCTAACAAATCATAATAACCTTCCTTACAGAATTTGATCTATCAAATGTTACTAAGTTTCAAATTTTACAGAATATTGGAAGGTTTACATTACTGAGCTCATTCTTGCAGCGTAAGCATACTGCTACTGCTTGAGTAGAACTCTGAAGAGACTAGGAACTTCCACTGTCAGCATTCAGTTCTGTAACCTGTGCAGATTTCAGAATTTAGTTTCTCAATGCAGATTTCTAAACATATTTTGAGAAATAAAGAAAGGACAGACAATAGAGACCTTTGCTTGGGACTATTGAGGTAGGTTTTTGCAAATGAGTTTCGCAGAACACAGCTTTTGTGGTTGCAGGACAAGCTCCGCTATAAATGAGCAGCGTGCTGTAGTGGAGGGTGTCCCTGCCCGTGGCAGGGAGGTTGGAACTAGATGATTTTTGAGGTCCCTTCCAACACAAACCATTCTATGATTCTATGAAATGTTGAGGAGTTCTCTCCACTTTATGATAAAGAGGTAAGAGGAAGAATACTTCCTCTTGGGTTACATCTTGGCACTATTTTTTCCCAGTATTTAATATCATATCTATATTGCAACTTTGAGTCTCTTCTAGTATGTTTAGCACCAAAGTTGAAGATGGAAAAGGGAAGTGCTGAGAAGGGTAATAATTTATTGAGAGGGGAAAATGTGGATCTTTAAGTTTTTGCCCTCACTTCATGCTCTTCAAAGCTCTTTGTAACTTACGCGTCATGTAAGTGAGATACTGAGAGACGGGATCAGAATTTGAGGTTTACCTCTCTTATGTGTGTCCTCAGTATAAATCTTACATTGCTTCCTGAATGTTGAAAGAGCTTTGACAGCAGGGATGGAAAATGCCACGAATAGGCTAAAAGCAGAACTGGAGCACAATTACTCTTCTGGGATCTGGAAACTTCTAACTTAAGTCCTCTGCAGTCTGGAAAGCCTAGAGCCCAAATAAAATTTTCAGAGTCGGAAGAGATGTTCTAATGACTGCCATATATCAAAGAAAACCACTTGGACAAATGGACTGTCTGCCTGACTTGGCTGGAATGGAGATGTTGAAGGGTGTATACGGTAGCAGAACTTCAACTATCTGAATATGTTCCGTGGTGAAAGCTGTGGCTCTGATGCTTACTGAAGCCATTATGTGGTTAACTGGTATGAAGACGACAATCCACAAAAAAAAAGCATTCAGTGTTCTTTCTAAAGATGAAGTATAAGCACTTCTGTTTTTAGAGTCTGGGTTCTAATGTAGACTTACTTTATGGAGTCTGATGTGAAACCGTATTGTCCAATTTGTGAAAAGACTGCAGCTAAGAAATTGCAAAAAAAAGTTTATCTAATCCTGTGTTTTACATATATAAATGCATGTTCAAATAATATATTTTCTATGCTCAAAAAAGAGAAAACTTTGGGTTGTATTGCACTAGATATTAAAAATTTGTTAGTACTTGTTTAGTCTGTCTTACTTCCTTTAAAATAGGAACAGGAAAAAAAATTAGGAGTAAATTATTAATTTTTCAAATGATGCTACTACTATTTGTGAAGCATTCAGATGCTAGACATATAGTACGTTTATGCCATTCCGTAATACATGTATTCATATACAATACATGTAGAAGAGAAGTGTACTTTATTAGGAAAATCGGTTTTGGTCTCAATAGGGTCTTTGAATCACATTCAGTAAATAAGTGTTGCACACTGAGCTGCCGGATAAAAAGTAAAGATACTTTGTTAAATGAACTGGTTGAGATTCATCTGTACAAGTGAAGTTTAATAGAGTCACTGTACTTGGGGCATGAGTTCTAAGATGAAGTAGTTTTTATTTGGCATTGGTCATTCTCGTGGATGCTCCCTTTCTTCATTAATTGAATTTTATTTTTCACCGAGACTCGGTTTGTGTATTTTCTAAACTTCACGGCTCCTTCTGGTGTACTAGTTTTTTGGGTGATGGAACTCATTTTGGTTGGGCTGCAGGCCTGCTAGTGTTTCAGTCAGTAGTTTTTAAGGAGAGGATTCTTCAGACTGGCTTTTGCCTATAGACTGAATGCTCTTTCATGGTTGGAGTCCATTAAATGTGTCCTTCTGGTTTAATTTCAACTAAAGAGTCTAGTTCATGTTCCCTGTAACTGATCTGAAGTGTGAACCAAACAGTGATTCTTCTGATCAGCCTTACTTAATACTTCAAAGGTACAATCTTGATCCAAATTCAAATGTTCTGTAGCTGTATCACTGAACAGTGTACTTGCTGTGCTTTTGTACCAAGACGTGATGATGTCGTGTAATTTAATTCCTGTTTTTACCTAGAACCACAGTAAATTTTTGGCTTAATCATTGTCTGGATTTTGTGGTTGTAGCATTAGAAAAAAGGAACATCATCATCTTTTATCCATCTTGTTATCTTTGGAGGGGTGAGGGAAAATGGTCCTTTGAAAATGTTATAGAAAACCTTTCTAGACTATTTTTAGCATATTTTTCAGGGTTAACCATAAGGCTTTCTTTTATTTATTATGGTAACTTTATACCCGTTGGAATATCATAGAATGGTTTGGGTTCGAAGGGATCTTAAAGATCATCTAGTTCCAAGCCCCCTGCTGTGGGCAGGGACACGCTCCACACTAGAACCTTGAACACCTTCAGGGATGGGGCATCCACAACTCCTCTGGGCAACATGTTCCAGTGCCTCACCACCCTCTGAGTGAAAAGTCTTTTCCTTATATCAGTCTAAATCTGCCCTCTTTCAGTTTAAAGTCATTGCCCCTTGTCCTATCACTACACGCCCTTGTCAAAAGCCCCTCTGCAGCTTTCCTGTAGGCCCCCTTTAGGGTACTGGAAGGCTGCAATGAGATCTCCCTGGAACCTACTCTTCTCCAGGCTGACCAACCCCAACTCTTTCAGCCTGTCTTCGTAGGAGAGGTGCTCCAGCCCTTGGATCATCTTCATGGCCCTCCTCTGGACCCGTTTCCACAGCTCCATGGCCTTCTTGTGCTGGGGACTCCAGAGGTGAACACAGTATTCCAGGTGGGGTCTCATGAGAGCAGAGTAGAGGGACAGAGTCAGCTCTCTCGACCTGCTGGCCACACTTCTTTTGATGCAGCCCAGGATACGGTTGGCTTTCTGGGCTGCCAGCGCACAGTCAGCTCATGTTGAGTGTTGCATCAACCAGCACCCCCAAGTCCTTTTCCTCAGGGCTGCTCTCGATCCATTCTCCGCCCAGCCTTGTGCTTGGGATTGTGCTTGGGATTGCCCCAACCCACGTGCAGGACCTTGCACTTGGCCTTGTTGAACTTCATGAGGTTCTCGCAGGCCCACCTCTCCAGCCTATCGAGGTCCCCGTGGATGGCATCCCTTCCCTCCAGTGTGTCCAGAACACCACACAGCTTGGTGTCATCAGCAAACTTGCTGAGGGTGCACTCGATCCCACTGTCCATGTCACCAACAAAGATGTTAAATAGCACCGACCCCAGTACTGACCCCCGAGGAACGCCACTCGTCACTGGTCTCCACTTAGACATTGAGCTGTTGACCGCAACTCTGAGTGTGACCATCCAGCCAATTCCTTATCCACTGAGTGGTCCATCCGTCAAATCTATGTCTCTCCAATTTAGGGACAAGGATGTCATGAAGGACAGTATCAAATGCGTAAGTCCAGGTAGACGATGTCAGTTGCTCTTCCCTTATCTACCAACACTGTAATCCCAACATAGAAGGCCACCAAATTTGTCAGACACAGTTTTCCCTTGGTGAAACCATGTTGGCTGTCACTAATCACCTCTTTTTCGTGTGCCTTAGCAGAGTTTCCAGGAGGATCTGCTCCATGATCTTGCCAGGCACAGAAGTGAGACTGACTGACCTGTAGTTCCTTTAGTCTTCCTTTTTTCCCTTTTTAAAGATGGGGGCTATGTTTTCCCTTTTCCAGTCGGTGGGAGCTTCACCTGACTGCTGTGACTTATCAAATATGATGGATAGCGGCTTAGTAACTTCATCTGCCAGTTCATTCAGGACCTGTGGATGCATCTCGTCAGGTCCTATGGACTTGTGCACCTTCAGATTCCTTAGATGGTCTTGAGCTTGATCTTTCTACAGTGGGCGGTTCTTCATTCTCCCAGTCTCTGCCTTTGCCTTCTATGGCTTAGGTAGTGCGGCTGGAGTTCTTGCCAGTGAAGACTGAGGCAAAGAAATCATTGAGAACCTCAGCCTTCTCCATATCCTGAGTAACCTTGAGTTATACCTAGTTTGTTAGATAAAACATTGTGGATACAGTTGAGGTTGTGAACTGTGTTTCTGGTGGTATGTACTTCTGAATCTTCTGATGTTATGTAGTAGGTATGTAGTAGGTATGTTACTTCCTTAGAAAAAGATTACTTAATGCTTTAAAGAAATGTGAAGCATTTAAAAATTATTTCTTGACGTTTTCTGTGATGTTTTGAAGATAGTTTTCTTTTGGACAGTGAAATAGTATGTCTGTCATTGCTGCATATTTTGTTGTGATGAATAATACTGGTAATTTTAAAAGGTAATTAATTTTGAAAGTTTCATTGCAATTGATTAAATGACTGTCACTTCTTTATTTTCAGGATATATTTATGTTCATAACAAGGCAACTTAAGGGTTTAGAAGATACGAAAAGCCCCCAGTTTAATCGATATTTTTATTTGCTTGAGGTAAGCTTCATGACTTATTTCATAATAACCATTAAATGTAATTTTTCAGCTTAATCTTGCATTAACTACTGCTTTTATGTTTTCCTGTTCAACATAGAACATTGCTTGGGTCAAGTCTTACAACATATGCTTTGAATTAGAAGACAGCAATGAGATTTTTACACAGTTGTACAGAACACTGTTTTCAGTAATAAAGTAAGTACTGTCACTTCCAGTTACTCTCTCTATATACACACAAACCTATTTCTACCCTAGATATTCAGTCTGTTGTGTGACTTTTAGTGTTAACGAGCTTAGTTTTGTAATTCAGTTTAACCAAAGGTAGCAGTATAAGTATAACAAGCTGTCAGTTTTTCCTGTTTTAATTAAGCAGGACATACTGCAAATCATCTTTTTTTTTCCCCCTAAGAAACTTTCTTTGGTTGTGTTTTACTGCATTTATTTTATTCTGCTCTTGAAATTGAAAGTGAATGTGCAATAGGCAATTGTAAGGAATTTGGAGGATTATGGCTATAAAAACATGAGTCAGAAAATAGCGGACAGTGGAAGGTACTCCTAGAGATGGTCTGCTCTGCCCCCCTTGCTCAAACTGGAGCAATTCATCTAGAGCAGTTGCCCAGGACTGTAGCCAGTCGGGTTTTGAGCATCTCCAAGGATGGAGACTCCCTGGCCTCTCTGTGCATCCTTGTAGTGCTCAATCACCCTTACAGTTTAAACATAAGAAAGAGGAACTTTTAAAATATATGTCTTGTATTTCACCTTGTGCTTATTGTCTCTTGTCCTGTCACTGGACACCACTGAGAAGAATCTGGCCCTGTCGTCTTTACTCCCAGTATCAGTTACTTAAACATAAGAAGTTCCTCCCTAAGCCATTTCTTCTCAAGGCTAAAAAAAATGTCAGTGCTCTCAGCCTCTCCTTGTATGAGAGCTGCTCCTGTCCCTTTATCGTCTTTGTGGTCCCTTGTTGGAGTGACTCCAGGGTGCCCACGTCTCTCTTGTGCTGGGAAGCCCAGAACTGGATTCAGCACTCCAGATGAAGTCTCACCAGTGTTGAGCAAAGCGGGGGGATGTTCTAATACACTATCTTTTCATGGTAGTGACAGGTACAGTCCTCTTACACTACAGTAGTAAACGAAGAGAGCATGAGATTCAAGAACATTTTGGGAAGTGTTATATGCAGCTGAGAAACTGAAGTATCTTGACCTCCAAGAAAACTTGTGATTTGATTATTATATTCCTTGTTGTTTGGCATCGCCATAGGGAATACTCTGAATGGAAGTTGTATTTTATATGAATAGTACACTAAGAATTCTTGTTTTTAATTTCAGCAACGGTCATAACCAAAAAGTGCACATGCACATGGTTGATCTAATGAGCTCTATCATTTGTGAGGGAGATACTGTGTCACAGGAACTTTTGGATACAGTGTTAGTTAATCTAGTGCCAGCACATAAGGTAAGACTTGATATTGTCTCAATTTTTTTTTTGTAATTGTGATTTATTGGATGTATGTATTGAGATGTTTAGATTTCATTGAGAGAAGAGCTGTAGCAAATGTGTTCATATTACTTGGATTTATTTTTTTTAACAAATAAATTGTTTTTAATAGCCAGAAAACTCAGTACCATTTCATTGCTTTTATTCACTTGCCATAAACCAAAGTATCAGTGGTCATAGTAATGTAAAAGCTTCCATGTCATATGACTTTACTCACAGGTTTTTTTAAGTGTAAGTGTCCTGGTTTTGACTGGGACAGAATTAGTTTTTCTTTGTAGCGACTAGAAAAGCTCTGTGTTTTGGGTTTACTATGGGATTTGTTATGAGAACAACACAACAGTGATCGATAGCAGTAGAACTTAATGTAAAAGATACATATATCCTTTGGAAAGTTGTTAATTAGTGTAATGCTGTATAAACAATTCAAACTAATGTGCTGCCCTAAGTGGCAGGGAAAAAATTGTTATAACTGCTAATTTGTAGTAGACTCTGTATTTCAGAGATGTTGACTTGGTGTTATTGAAAGCACATTGGTATGTTTTTGATGCAGCCATAGAACTGAACATGTTGAGAAATGGTGGTTCCTGAAGAGCCCAAGTGATGACTGGCTTTCCTTAATGAATCATATTTTACCGATTTAAAAAAAAAAAAAAAAAGTGTCCTACAGATGAAGTGAGGAAAAACTTCAATCTTTGCGTATGTTGTGACACTTAAATGTTTAAAAAGCAAGGAAGTCTGACTTCTTTGTTTAGAAAACCATCTGGGTCCTACTGGAATCTCTTCAACTACAGTGTAGAAGATGACTTGTAAGTTGTGTGTGACGAAAAAAGATTCTAGGAAATGCATACTTGGCTGCATTTTGGTCAGTTCTGGCAGCTTTAAACCACAGTAAGATTAAGTGGATATTAACTGAAAGATTTTTGCAGCTTCAGAATGCTTTTTTTTAAAAAAAAAAAAAAAAAAGTTGGCATACCTGAAGAAACTGAGTAGACTTTTCATAAGGTGCTCTCTGAAGAATATAGGAAGTAGTGCAACATAGTGTGCCTTATGACAAGCCATCCATTTCAGTAAATAAACAGCACCTAAATTATTATACTATTGACAATGAAAGACTAAATTTGTAGTATACATCAGTCACCTTTATGTTTGCTGGGAATGTTTTAGCTGTGTCCTTCAAGGAATCTAGTGCTTTTGTGCCAGAACCAGACTGAAATTTGTGCAGCTAAAACTCAGTTTTACAAAATAAAGCCTTGGAATACAAGAAACAAAAGCAAGATTACGCAAAACACTTCAGTTTTGTATTTTCTCAGTTGTTAAGCATCAGTTGTTTCATTGTGTTGTCTGTGTTCAACTTGATTTGACTGTACTGTTTTTATTATTCCTGTTTAATAAACTGATTTTAAATTGAAGATTTGCATCCTATTAGATTGGCTATAGCATTGAAATAATTATGTTTTATAGTGGATTTAGAGTTATTGACTGAACATTTTAATAGGATAAGGTATTTGGGGTTTGACATTTTCTTCTGCTTCTGTTTTTAACCAAACTGACTCTTCAGATAGGGTGCTAGTTTATAGCCTGCTTTCTAACTGAAATAGTTTCAGAACTTTAGACTGTATTCTGAGTCCTTTTACCTTGTTTTATTTTTTTAACCTTTTTATGCTAATAGAAGCTTCTAAAATTTTTCTACTTCATCTCAATATTTTCATATAGTGTTTATTTAAAATTTCAGAGCTTACATAGTCATCTAACCGCTTTCTGTGGCTAATAATGTCATGTTGGAAAAATGTAATGAACTCAGAATTTTTCCACTTGTGTCCATTGAGCACAGAACTACAAGGAGGTTAAGAATAAGGTCCACCATAACAAACAACTATGTCTTAGCTGACTTAACCATTAAGCTGTACAGGTTGTTGGAAAGGGAAATGAAAAAATCAGACCAGCCACCAAAAATGGCATAACAGCAAGTATTGATGTGATGGTGATGATGAGTAGGGAATCCTTATCTAGCCGGATTTCCTGGGGACCAAAAGAGTAATTTTTTTTGATGGAGTAGAAGGAGCATGGATTTGTTACTAGCTCAGGTTTCCTAAGAGAAATGCCAGATACCGACCATAGTCCTGAGTTGTAAGTCTAATCAGCAATGGGTGGTAGCAGGACGGCTGCAGAAACTCAGGCATAAGGAGCATGTGTTGGGGACGTGACGTACTATCAGATGTCTGTCTATCATAATTAGTAGTCACTGAAGTAGTCCAAGCTGCTCTAGCTTACTTGAGTTTGTCATCCATCTCACTTGGCCAGAGTAAAAGCCATGTAGATGTAAACTTGAATGATCAAGTGGCTCGCGCTAATACCACAGAACAGGTACATGAGAGCATACGCAGGCTTACTTCAGTAGTACAGCAGGTATCAGATAATTCAATAAAACAGTAAACTTAACTTGTCTGACCATGTGCTCAGCTCATAATTTCTTTTATGTTTTTTTTTTTTTTTCTTTTCTAGTTTCTCTTTTCTTCTTTTCTATGCACTCTACTGGAATTCTTTTAATAGGATTATATTAAGAGGGTATTATATAAGTAGTGTACTAAACCCAGAAAAGACCAGAAGCAAGGGAGAGGCAGTCAGTATGAAAAAGCAAGAAAAATTAATAGTTTTCCTTTCCTTTTTAATTGTCTTTTTAGATCATAAAGCCTTTATGGCAGCACCTGTAAACAATTTTGTGTTTGTGCAGTGTGTTAGAAGGCAAATTGTACTTTATTTCCTTGAGTGTTTGCCAGTGTTCCACTTTCAACCTCAGGAGTACTACAGGGAATCCCACATTGCTTTACATGGTTATCTTTTTGAAAAAGTTATATTGACAGGTAAATTCCTAACTGTCTCTACTAGGAACTCGCTTAATAATTAGTGTTATCTATCTTGGCAACTCTTCAGCTGAGATTTTTCTTTGTCAACCATCCTTAAAAACCTGTTTCCCTCCCCCAGCAGAACTAGAGAATCTGTTAACTGTTTTGTCAAGTGCTCTTGGATAAATTCTGATGCTGTGCCATTGATAATAAAATTGAAGACTCTTTTCAAATGCCAAGAAAATATATTAAAATCTATGTTTTTTAAGAATATTTGCTCTAGATACAGACTTAACATTTGATTTTACTCCTGAAATTACAAAATTACGGACTGGATTGATGCTAGCTAGTCATCCTTTTTCAAGAAAAAGTAAGGGACATGCATTTGTTTTCTGTTGCTGGTTGGATGGTTTGGGTTTTTTTGGTTGTTTTTCTTTTCCACTTTAAAGTATGAGTACAAGTTATTTCACTCTTAATTTCTTTGAGCTGTGTTAAATTGGACATGGAGAGGCAACTGGAAAAAATAACTGAAAAAATCAGTGGGTATGTTTTTACATCACTGCCAACCCCATTGCAGCACTACAACTGATTTTTGGCTCTGTGGCAAAGTGTCCTGAAGAGCATTGTCCGTAACTGCACAAAAATGTCTGTGCCATGCTGTCAGGGAGGTTGCCACCACTTCTTGTGTCTGCTGTAGCAGTTTGTCAAACATTCTAGAGAACAACAGGTATGAAAAATGAGTCAGCAAAATTCTTAAGGTTTTCCAAAAGTGTAAAAAGCTTGAAATACTAGCAATGTATACACAAAAATCATGGTAGGAGTTGAGACAAAGGAGAGAACTTATGGCTGAAGAAAATGATCTGTCTTCAAATATTATTACTGAAGGCCTTCTATGCATAAAAAAATAAATGTTTCCCTCTGTTTATTAACATTCTTTTCTGAAAGAAAACAAGGTATTTTGGGGGAGAAAGTCTGTCTGTTGCATCCTGTAGGTCTATTTTAGATGTTATATGTAACTTCTCAATTATCTTTCAGAAGATCTGTCTTCTGCCTTTTTATGAGTTCTTCTTTGGTGTGTCCTTATCGATCAATAACTTCTACTGTTTCCTTCAAGATGTAGTAATTACTAATTATTACTTTATAGAGTGTTGCCAGCTGATGGTTTAGTTACTACTCAGTTCAGGACTCTCAAAAGCTTATCCCCACTGGGTGCTCTTAGATGCATTTTAAAGGCATCCTGATTCAGGTGATTGTCCCCATCAGTGAGGGCTTTCTTAAGCCATTAAAAAAATCTTGAAATACATGTCATTTTTTTTTCTAAATGTATAGAAAGATTGAAGAGAAGATAATGATAGAAGAGTTTAGATAAACACAGAAGAAATTTGTTAAATTAGGTCTTACCCTTATAAAATTTCTCCTTCAGTCAAAGTTTAAAGTATCTTTGTGGCTACTACGTTAGTCAGAAAGATAGATTTGATGTTTTGTAAAAGATCTTTAAACCTATTTGGTAATGGCCTGGGTTGCTCCTGTTTTCATTTCAACTAAGGCAGTGCCGCTTTTTCTTGTTTCTACTCTTATCCTGAGGCTGGAAAAGGGAGAAGAAAACTTTCCCATGTGCTTTCAAGTCTTCTTTGGCATTGTTATTTTCAGGAAGTTTGGCCCCTGGACATTTGAAAGCCCTGGCTATTGGCACAGTTAAATCAAGTGCATGAGGCGTGAAAACAGTAGCTAACTTTCCTTAGCTGGTTGTGATCTAGACTATTTTTCCTCTTTGCAGCTTTTTTGGATAGAATGAAATAAAATGTGAATACATTATTCAGCGTTGCAAATAGCCACTTCTAGCATTTATCTCGGCAAACACTAAGGTGTTGAGAGATCTTTTGCCTGACCTTTAGTGCCTTATTTATTAAAGATCTCTTCTTTCAGACTTCTTTTTCTAGGGCTATGTGTGAAATCTTGTTTAATTTTTTTTAAACTTCAGTTGCACAGATGCATTACAGCAGCTTTTTTAAAATGAACTGCTATGTGAAAGATACAAGCTGAAACTGTAATTAATGTGAATCAAAACAGATCTGCCTGTTGGAACTCTGCTGTGCTGTTCAGACTTGTTTTATCCATAAATCAGATCTTGCTCATGATCTAGAGTTCACTCTTATCCAGATGAAAGCCGTTTTCTTTGTTTTGGTGGAGGTGAACTGTGGGAGTCAAGAAGGGTCAGAGCAAGAGTAGCAAATGACATGCATTCCTTGTAACGGTTATTTGCCTTTTTCCTCCTGGACAGTCACAACTCTAGCCGAATAACAAAAAAATGCTTAGGTGAAACTGTCCCCTTTTATTCATGTATTTATTTTTATTAACCGTGAAGAGCTATCTGGCATGCAGAACTTTCTCTTTTCTGGGACATAGAATGGCTGTATAATCTTGTAAAAAGGCTGCCAATGTTGTCCCTTGTACCTTGATTAGATAGGGCAAGAGGAAGTTACAAGGATGTTAGATTCTTAAGTAAGTCTTCGAGTATCTTTCCAGAATTAGGATTTCTGTTCATCTTCTGTAGTGGCCCTGAGTAAAACAGATACTTCAGATACTTCGTATTTTTAGTCATTTGTGTTCAGTCACCTAACTTAATTCTATCAGTAGGCAAGTCAAGGACTTATTTTGTTTTATATTAACAGAAAAATGTTAATCTGTTCCCACTGCTGTGTAGAAGCCTATAGTTTTACATAGTTTTTGAAATTGCGGACAATACTTTTCATCTCTTTGCAAATCATCTTTGTAGCTATCTGAATGAAAAACAGAACTAAGCATATACAAGCAAAGAAGTACGCTGGGTGTGTGGCAATGCATCTTGAGTTTGCTTTTCATTATTCTAAAAGAAAGATTTTTCCTTTTATGGATGAGATGTATTTTAAAAAAACAACCACAAACTGCCCCTTTATACTGTTGTCTTATAAATGGAATATGCTGGGTATTTTTAAATTAAAAAGACTAATCAAAATTGCAGGAACGATATTTTTACGGAGACTTTGCCTACTAAAAAACTATATAATTTTTGGTATTGAAGAATTTTTCGTAATTCTTCTATGTATTAATCAAGTCTTCAGTGGGCGTCACAAGGGCTGAGTTGCATGTTCTTTTGAAAGTTTTTGAAAAATAGTTGTGATACAGAAATTGGAGAAAGGACATAGCAAATGCATGCTGGTGAAGGAAGGAAACAATGATAGAGCAATAACCCAATTACACAAATGGAGATATAGGAATGTTGTGGTGATGTGGTTGGTTTTTATTTTTTTGATATTAAAGTTTCATTAGTTAGTATTCTTCACCCGTTCTTGCTCATGGACTAAAATTCTAGTTTGTGGTAGGTTTGTGGGGTTTTTTTGTTAGTCAATCAGATTGAGAATATCTTTGGGAGATCCTATGGAGAGGCTGTGATGGTGGTTCACAGGTGGCCACTTGATGCAAGGACAAAATTGTACTTTCTACCACAATACTGTTCAGGGTTTTGCTTCTGTGGTGACTGTAAAGGCCTCGATGTTGCTTTATATTGCTTTCCTGTTTTTTTGGGAAGCTGATAAGAGGCAGAACTAAAGTGCAGGAACTGACTCCACTGAGTGTCAGGCTTAGATGGACAACTGAAAAGTAAGCCTGGATTTGCCAGGAAAGAGTTTTCTCACTAATATCAGTGGAGTCTACAAAGCTCTTCTTGAACTAGGTTTATTTTTAATATATTATCTTTAGTACTGAAAGTATAAAAAGAACAGTCTGTTTCTTTAATGCATTTACCAGTACGTGGTAGCTTTAAATTGTCATGTTTATTTTTAAGATTAATGCATGTGCTTAATTTCTGTGTTTTTCCCCCAGAATTTAAACAAGCAAGCCTATGATTTGGCAAAGGCTTTACTAAAGAGGACAGCGCAAGCAATTGAACCATATATTACTAATGTAAGTGAAGACTGCAAACAAATATGGAAATCAACACACTTTTTAAACTAAGCTGTATTATAAAAAGAATGAATTGCATATAGGCGAATAAGACTGTAAAATAACGTTTTACAAACTCTCAATTGTTTTTTGAGCGAGTTGTTATATTAATGAAGCACTGTGTAAACTGTCCCTTTGAGTCGTCTTCTGTATGGTATAGAAACTACTAAGCCCATAACAATTTTGATTTTTGAAATGCAATGGATAATTTAGTTTCTGCTGTCTTGGTAGACCTTGCACTTCAATCCTTAATGTGACTGGAAGACCAAATGTACTTATATGTATTGTTCTGATAAAAAGTATACAAACACGTTGTTCCTGTGCCAAAACTCTCTTTCTAGTGAAGAGATGAGACCATTTAGAAGGTAGGAGAAGTGAAGATAGAGCAGAATTTTAATGCCATTGTCACAGGGAAACAAAAGGAAACAGAATCTGAGAAGAGATAGTAAGGAATAAACCAGCAAGTGGATTAACGGTTGTAGCTAAAGTGAATGTAGGCATCATACAGATGACAAGAGAAGAAGAGGAAGTAAAGGTCAGGCAGGAGTATGTGCTAAACTAAGTTGCGCAATAGGGGAGGAAAAAAATTGTGCTTCTTTTAAAAAAAAAAAAATAAATTAAATAGTTAAGCATTTAGCAGGTCTCGTGGCAGCTGTCCAAAACCTCAAGAGCTTGGAAACAACGCAACATTTTCAGTGTGTTTTTGTTGTGTTCAGAGTTGTAACGCTTGTACTTGGAAGGTGGGTACCTTCTAAGATTTAAAAAAATTTTCAGTGAAAACTCATGCTCCAAACCTGTTACTCAAACCTGATGTTGGGAAGGTGTTGCTGTATGGAAATGTGTTTAATAGTCATCTGTAAGGTTAGATTACAAACTGGATGACATTTTGTGGGTTTTAAGGAAGTCTGTACAATAAGAATCTTCCTCTTACAGAAAATACGTACGTACGGTTTTCTGGTTTTGGTTTCCCACAACTGGGAAATGTTATACTGTCTGGTTTCTTTGTTTTGAAAGTTATTTTTTCTTAAAATATGTTTAAGACACAGTAGGAGTTAGTTGCCTAACCAGGAATATATACGTTCCAGGCAACTCTGTATCCAGAAAGGGAAAACTTTTCTGCAAGACAGTATTGAGTCTTTAACTTCTAATGAAATGTGCTTGTCTGTTACTTTCTAGTCATTATTACTAGAAACTATTTACTTTTTCTACTGCATCAATTGTTGGGGTTCACTTTATAACCTTAAGAAAACCTGGTAGTTTTTTGATTTTAGTTTCTTTACTGATATGATTGACCTTGTTCAGGTACAGAGAATAGTGATGTTCATCTGTCTCAAGTTTGGGAATAGGAAACTGAAGTGTGAATTAAGTGTCTTCTGTTGCCTTAGTGGCAGGTGGAAATAGCTTTAATTTGTTTAGCCACATTTGTGTATTATGTTGAAAAATTTTCCAAATTATGGCCTTTGCCTTTCCCCTTACAAGTAAGGGATAGTATACTCCTATTTAGTTACTTCTTACTCATCTGTTATGAGAGGATATAGGTGAAAGTAGTATGGAATTAATAGTTGATATTAGGAAATATTTTCTTTAATGAGAAGTATGAAGTTTCCCTCAAACCTGTCAAGTTTACCAAGAAACAGGAATTGCTTTACAGCTGCGTTATGCTGCTTGTAAATAAAAATTCTGGAACAATCAGTAATTAATTCATACGTTTTTACTTAAAACTCCTTAACCTGTCAACTGCGCAGTGTAGTAATTAGCCAGTTGTTTCAGCCTTGTTTTGACTAAATGTTAGAATGCTTTTAAAGTGATTGTTCTCAATAGTGGAGTAACTCTAAATATAGTCACATTATAAAAAGATCTGATGCACTGGAACTCCTCTAAACTTGTGTTTCTTAAATAATTTGTAGGCTTGCTGTGGTAAACTAAACGTCACTTTTAATGTGTTTTCCTTTTTGTGTAATACTGAATACAACACAATGATATTTTAAAATTTCTGCTACAGAATTCTGATTTATATGCACCCTTCTTCCACTCCTTTTGATTTTAAATAGTTGTAAAATAAATGCTGTAAGATTAAAAGGTAGATTTTATTGGTAGGCAAGCATAGAATTTAGAAGACTGTATATATACTCTTCTTGTTGATGTGTGCTCTGTTTTATTTTCCAGTTCTTCAACCAAGTCCTCATGCTTGGTAAAACGTCAATTAGTGACCTGTCAGAGCACGTGTTTGACTTGATTCTGGAGTTATACAATATTGACAGTCATCTCTTGCTTTCTGTTCTACCACAGCTTGAATTCAAACTTAAGGTAAATACTTCTTATAATTTGAAATATGTGTACTTTGGCTATTAATATGCTTTTTTTTTTTACTGACAGATTCATCAAATTATTTGACATATAAAACTAATACTTAAATGTAAAACATATAATCTCTGCATTGTTTAAAGGAAAACTCATAAAACCCTCAAAAAGAGTAATTTAACTTCAAATATATTAACCTACAACGCATGTGTGCATATGTTTCAGTTTTGATTGTGTTTTTATTTTTTTATTTTTCTTGTATCTTTAAAGCAATAACTTGATTTTTTGACTTCCGAATCTGGCCTGGCTTGTTCCTTGGTTTCTTGGTTTTATTGTGAAGGGCTTTCATGTGTTGAAAGTACCATGTGCTGCCAGCTGTGCAGAGGAACTACATCTGTTCAGAATATTGAATTTTGAGAAGGAAAAGTTGGGCTTCATGTTAATGGAAACTGATATACTGACAATTTTGTCCAAATAGTGTGACAAGTTTCACTGTATGAAATAGTGTGACTGTTTTCACTTGTGTGACAAGTGGAAACAGAGCATTGGACTCCATAAATATGCCTTGTAGTCATTGCTACAATGACTTTTATGATTTTTCACGCTTATTTTTTATGTTTGAAGGATAGCTGATGCTAGTTGTCTATTTTAATAGGTATTCTTCTTTTTTGACTTTCTATCATTTCAGAGTGTTTCCATCACTTTGAGAAATTCAGTATAGCAGCTGGTACTCCCTTTATTCTGTGCTACTTTTATTCTATTTGTCATTCCACTGGGTATCTGTGGAATTTGATTAGTTTTGTATTAATAAGTTTGAAAGTGATTTATTACTAAACTTGAGGGCTAATGTGCAGTGGGCAACTTTTAAATTTGCATGTATTTTTATTGTCGACAACAGATTTTAGGTTTGTAGAACCTTGGCCCTGTTCTCACTGCAGTATTTATTATCATAGTGGCTTGTTCATGCCTATTATCTTTTCACTAATGTTGCTAGGCAGGCACGCTATGCTTATGGGATGAGTCGTTTTTTATGGTTATATCTTTCCATTCACATTTCCAAAAGAAGTAGGGCTCAATTTACTGCTTGCTGTCTGTGTCTTAAAAGTAGACTTTTTTCAACCTTTAATTCCTATTCTTACAGATGGCAAAAGATTATTATTCTAACTCCAGTAAAAACAGTACTTCTGCAGCTGAAGCTTTTGTTCAAGAGATTTAATCTTAACTGCTGCCACGTCTTTTTCTTTACATAGCTGTAATTGCAGTAACCTTTTCATCTTTAGGTCCATTTAAAACTGCAGGTTCTCTAATTGTCTTCCTGCTCCTTCATTGACTCTTATATTCCATTATTTCAATAAAAACTTCCTTTTGTATGCTGTTTGACCATTGGAATCAGCAAGTTTAGTAGCCCAGCCCTGTCAGCCTTTTCTCTGACTCTTCCTGTCCCAGAACAACTTCTGGTCTCTTCCTTGGACTGGATGGTTTCAACCCTAAGCATTTCCATGTTTTCTTTGTACCTCTTAATTTACAGCATTTTTTTCATATTTGCATTTCTGTTCTTTAAGTATACTCTTTTAGATGTATTTTGTTGCATTTCGTCTCCTTGGTCCTTACTGTAGTTTTCTCCTCGTCATCTGAACCCTTGAGGGTAAGGTGTTTCACCCTGGAGATTTTTAAGATCCAGTTTAACAATGTTTCCCATAGACATGTGTGTTTTGATAGTTACGTTCTTACTGCTCTCCTTCCTTGATGTCTTGTTGAACTCAGTACAGTTTGTGGCTATTTGAAGAGCATGGTATGGCTTCTGTTTGAATCATCTTGTTGCTTCAGATGTGTGTTTTCAATGCTTTGAGTTGTAAGGATAAATAATATATGCCGATTTTGTCCTATTGGCTGTCAAATGTAGTTTAATCCGTCTTTTATGGGGAAAAAAAGCACCTCTATTTGAAATAGGATAATCCTGGTTCAAATCCTGAGACACTTGAACAGGTTGCCCAGGGAAGTTGTGGATACCCCTCTGGAAGCGTTCAAGGTCAGTTTGGATGGTGCTTTGAGCAACCTGATCTAGTGAAAGATGTCCCTGTCCATGGCAGGAGGATTGGACTAGACAATCTTTAAAGGTTTCTTCCAACCCAAACCATTTTATGTTTCTAAATGAGTTGAGAGGTCTGTGAGATCTTTCTGTGGTTAAAAGGGTATTTTGAAGGCGAAAGTTCTGAAATATTCATTAAATATTGAAAAGCCTATGTTTTGTTGTTTTGGTTTTTTTTTAAATCAACCCAAATTCATTCTTTATGCAGACCTACCAGCAATGGTTAAATACTTTCTACTCCAACAGTAGCTGTGGCTTTATTCTAAACAGCAGCAGCTAGTGTCAAGCAATTTTAATTCATGTTCAGGTAAATAGCACATTAGTGTGTTGAGGAGTGAGTGTGATTTCAGTGAAACTCAAGAGTGCTCATAGTAGAAGGCAGCTGATGTTTTCCTGCTTTGAATGAAAAGAAACTGGACAGCAATATCCCTGTTAGCTTGACGAAACCTTGGATCAGGTGGGTTGTAAAGGAGAAAAATATACTTGGCAGCCCATACTGAAATATGGGAGAGGGGAGGTGTCTTTTTGAATAAAGGTCAATTAAAGTTAATGATACAATAACCATGAATTTCTGCATATCGTTCAGGGCTTGCCTAGATGGCTCTGGCTTTTCTGAATTTAGAACATAGTGTTGTGTCTTTATGCACACCCATAGTTTTAAGAGCCTTGCCTCTTGAGCTCACTCGCTGTGGACCCTCTACCAGGTATTTAAGTACAAGTTTGTGGAGTATACTTAGGTCAAATGGATAGTTTCACAGGGATATCTAGATTTTGTTCTATGAGATTGTCTGATACAGTTCTTGAATGTAGAGGTGTGATAACAGAAGTCAAGTACTAGGGGCAAGTACTCAAATAACGCTTATGAGGTGTAGTGGGACAGTTACTTGTATTCCAAGATCTCATATTGCTGCTTTGCTGCTAAAGAGTTTCATGGTACTCTTAAGTAGATGATGTGGAAGGAAAGCTGTGGCTGTTTTAACTGTTGAGTTGTCAGTTTGGAGGAGTGAAGATGTGTCAGAATGATCTCATCTTGCATGTGTTGAACGCGTGGAAGTGGAC